CACCAGCTGACGGTAAAGCACCAGCTGACGGTAAAGCACCAGCTGACGGAAAAGCACCAGCTGACGGTAAAGCACCAACTGGCGCCGGAAACAAACTTGAAAGTGGTTTAGTAACTGGAGCCGTTGTTGCCGGTCTTGTCGGTCTCTTCATGTAAAAAAAAAAAAAAAAGAGAAAAAAAATTAGTTTTTTTTTTTTTATTTTTTATTTTGTTATTTCTTTATAGAAAGTAGGATATTTAATAATGTCCAATCTTATTGTGCGATAAATATCTTTTTTTTCAAATATTTTTTTAAATTAGTTCTTTATAATTTAATTTTTAGTCAGATTGTTCCTGAAAATTTTTTAATAAAAGCCTTTTCGCTTTAAAAAAAAAATTTTAATAAACTTCCAATTAATTTACACATCAAAAAAAAAAAAGTTTCACTTGTTCATTTTTACCGATGTAACGAATTCTTTTTTTTCTTTCTGTTTTTACATAGAAATAATTTATATAATGGGAATACTTTTACAATAAAAGATTGTTAGTAACCTTATTTAATCGCATTTTTCGAAATACAGTTGTGTAATTTGCTCTAATCGCGTGGTCATCTTGGTGAGAAATTTATATAAATGACCACATATTTTCTGCGAGAAATGACAATGGTATTTTGTCGTCCGAGATTCTTGTTTTTAAAAGCTCGTTAATTCGAATAAAAAAGTTTCATAATTCGACTTCTTTAATTGTGACCAGTTTTTTTTTTTTGTCATCAATGCTGTCGCGAGATGGATCGATTTTTGGAAATCCATAAATAAAAAGTTAATTCCGAAGTGGTTTGAACCACGCAAGTCTAACCAGAAATCGATCAAACCTTGATTTGTTGCGAAAAACTAAAATAAAAATAAAAAATAAATATATAGAATAAAATATATACGAAACGAATTATCTTAAAAAAACTGGTATATACATATATTTTTTTAATGAATTATAATGAAAATTAAAATAATCTATTTTGCCATAAAAAGATTTACGAAATTCCCGATCTTTCTTTCCAAGATCCGTAAAATTAAATATGATCGGCCCGATCATTCTAGTAAGATCTCTAATTGATCCAAGTTTATTTTATCTATAAATGATTTAATCTTTTTTATTCATAATTTAAAAATATATATATAACAGATAAATTAATTAAAAGAATGAATCCGGCGGTTACGAAAATATACATTTTTTAAAATATAAGCTAGAACAAATTTATATTAATTTATAGTCTTTAAATATATTTTTAATAAAATAAAATAAAATTTCTCGTTTTTTTTAGTACATTGTTGATAAATACCTACATAAATAAATTAATTATATATATTTTAGATGTTATTTAATTTCATTCAATAATATAAATTTTTTACTTAAAATACATTTTTTTTTATTGTTTTAAAATAAAAAGTATTCGACTTAAAGTAATAAAATTTTGATATCTTTTATAAAAAAAAACTTTATTATCGAGTAATTAATACATTTTTTTAGGAAAGGTGTACTTTAAAAATAAACTTTTAACTATAAAGTTGAAAATTTTAGGAATTTGATGAATAATAAATAACCAAACATATTAATTATTATCAATAGAAAATGGGAAAATCTAAATTTGGTCAAAAATTTTTTATTACTAGAAACTAAAATTAGGAAAAATTTGCAGATTTTACTGATGTTTTCCTATATTATAAATATAATAAATTTATATTTAAAATTATATAGTTTACAAAATTATATAAGATTTTAATATTTAAATTTCACAGATAATATAAATTTTATATAAATTTATTATAATTATTAAGGTTAAAAATATAAAAAAATTATAAAATGTTTAATAAAGATTTATATTTTAATTTTATATTATCATTTCTTATATAATCATTTATTTTTTTATATTTTTCTATAATCATACCAATTTTTTTAGTTTGAAAAATATAATAAAATAAAAAATTAACTATACTAAATAATTTAAAAAAATTATTTTATATATTAATTATTATTTAAGTAAATATATTTATTTTATTTTATAATTTTTCTCTTTCTATTATATAGATATTTTGCAGCAAAAAGAAAAAAAAAACTTCTAAAAAATTTTTTTTTAAGTTAATATTAAATTTGAATTATACTTTACTAAAATAAAATTATATTTAATTTATTAAAGTAGGAAAACTTTTTTTTTTAATTTTTTATTGCAAAATACCTAGATAATACTTATATATTATTATTTTATCAATTAATTAAAATAAAAATATACATTTTAATATTACAATCAACTTTCTATAAATACACCCTTTATAAATGTACATCCTTTATAAATACATCTTTTTATTTAGTCCTAACTTAAGTTTTATTGCTAAAATGCATATTTTTTATATATATACTTTTGTAAATGCATTCTTTATTTAAAATTTTATAAGTTTACTTATAAATTTTTTGTATTATCTTAACTTTAAATTAATATTATATAGATTTATATATATTCTATAAATACATATTCTATTTAAATGGACCTTTATACTTAATTTCAAGAGGAGTACATTTATAGAAAGTTGACTATAATACTTATTTTTAAATTTTTAAAAAAAATCAAATATTTATTTTCTTTTTAATATATTTTAATAATATTAACTTAATAAAATAATTATATTATAGGGTTATATTAAATGCTTACTTATTTTTAGATAGTATTTTATATCTTCTTTTACCAATATTTAAAAGGATAAATTAAAAATTTTGATAAAAATTATTTTCACTTTGAAAATTACGAATTTGAATAATGTTAGCTGATTTTGATTCAGTAAAGATAGAGTATTAATAAAAATTTTTTGAATCAAATTAATCTTCTAAATATGAAGTATTTTGAGTATTTATAATATCAGTAAGATCAGTTATATCTTATAATTCTGGTGTAGATGTATTACTCTTAAATTTTGAATTATTTGTAATTTTACTAAAAGAATATAAGATTGAATCATCTGCTTCACTTTTTAATTTATTTATTAATATATTAAGATTTAAATAATAAGAATACATTTTCTTAAATAATAGTTTTATTTGCAATAGAAAAATATTTAGATTGAGAAGATTGGAGTCTAGTTGATTTTTTCTAAATTTCTTTTTAAACTTTTTAATCTAAAAGTATTACTAATTATATAAATAACTCTTATTAAGATACCAGTAAAATGAGATTTAGAAGTTCTTTTTTAAGGTTAATATTAAGTAGTTAGATTATATATTCTTCTAAAATAAAGGATTTGATTATTTTAAAGCTAGTTTTTAAATATATTAGACTTAATTAAAGATATTTAGTTAAAAGAATATCTTATTAATATTAATTGATAAAATTTTGTGTTTATTTTAGAAATAATAAACTTTCAGTTTTAGTGTAATTTATTCAGATTAATACAAAAATTAAATCAAAATAATTTGATAAATATTATTATTTGAAAGGTTAGTAAAAGATTGATATTAACAAGATTTGACTAAAATAGAAGTTTAAATAAATAACTATTATAAATATTTAATTATTAGGTTATTTAACTATTTAAAAAAAAAGTGTTAGTTTTTTAGACTAATGAACTTTTAGACCATTGGATTGCTAGACTAATAGACTTAGTCTATTCCAATTCCATTAAAATTTAGACTATTAAACTATAAACTTTGTCTAACAACTATAAATTTTTAACAATAGGTAAATCATTTTTATTGATATTTATTATAATTTTATTAAATTTACTAATTATTACTTAATATAAAATTTGACAAATAATTAGGTTTCTTTAAACTCGTAATATAAATATTTAAATATTTTTATTTAGAATTTTGATCTCTAGCAGAATAGAGTAATTTGGAATATTTGAAATATTAATTTTAAACTTTCTGTTACCTGAAAAATTAAGGTCAATAGAATCATTTTAGTTGAACAATTTTATTATCGTACAATTAAAATAATTTTATTATTAATCATTCAAATTGAATGATTTTATTAAATTTTTAAGTTAGACTAATATTATAAATTTGGCCAGAATTATAGTATATAAAATTATAATTTGACCAATATTATATAATTATAGTCCACTTGATTGGAATTAGACTGGACATCTCCATTAGATCCAAAGTCCAATAATCCATTATTGAAAATTGAACAAGATCTAATTCTAATACTAAAAATAGAAGTTTTAAGTTTTGTAAATAAATCAATAGTTTTTAAAATATTAGATTATCTTAATTGTAAATAATATTAAGATTAAAAATCATTAAAGTTTTCTAAACATTCAAATTTTTTTCAATAAAAAAGCAAATTAAATAGAATATATCTAATATAAGTTTTAAATTTAAAGATTCTTTAATAATAATCAATTGATATAAACTTTTATGAGTTTAATTTCTATTTACAAAACTCATATTACTTTTCTGTTTTTAAATCCTATTAGGAATTATTACATATATCAGTAGAATTTTTTAATTTAAGTTAACTATATTCTTAATTTTTATTTGAGATTGCTAATTACGATTAAAATATTAAAAATCTGTCTAACTTTTATCTTTACCAAATTTATATATTAAATTTAACAAATTCATCAAGTATAAAAACTTGAAAAATGAAATTACAAATAAATTTAATTAAAGAATTTAGATAATGAACTTATTATTAATTTTATATAATAATTATTTTAGATTATAAAAATATAAAAAAACAGAAAATATAAGATTTAATTAATTTTTTTATTATATATTAAAATTCATATTCATAAAAGAATTAATTTATAGTATAAGTAAAAAGTCTATCTATTTATTTATTATAATTAACTAATTACTATACTATAAATTAACTAATTAATAAATAAAATATAAATAAACTAAAAATAAAAATAGTATATAATAAAATAAGAAAATAATAAAAAATAAAATATTAAAAATAAGTATTATATCAAATATTCTTAAACTTCATTTAATCAGAATTAGAGTTATTAATAGTATTTAAAAGATTAATAGAATTTTGTAGATCTTCTATATTTTCAGAATTTGTAGAATTTATAATATTTCCTAAATTTTGTATAATGAAATTATCATATTACATGATTCATATGATTTTATTTATTAATTAGTTATTTTATTAATAACATTTTTAAAAATATTTTTC